CATTTCTGTCACAAACATTAATTGGACTCAATCTGAGCAATTAATGCCTTGACCAGGAAGCTTTCAAAATCAATTGTAGTAAAACCAAAATTCTAATTTTTTGCAGAGACCTAAATAGTATACTTGAAGGATAAATGACCAGAACATTAATAAGTTAAAATCTTCAAATATCCAGCATGATTTTCCATTGTTTCACAAAATACACTGTGCACCAAAAATATGTTATAAAAAAATTCTCAAAAAACAACAACTGCAATCCAATCTTTCTATTTCACTAGAGGAGCATGATAAGCTCCACCAAAGCTATTTTCAGCAAAGGCACATGTGCAACTACTCTTTGATGCCCAGCTAGGACCCTATTCCTCTTTTGCCCTTCTTGAAAAGCTACAGTTTAAATTTCTAAGAGCATATTGCAGGTAGACCCCTTTGTTTCCAATATAGTTCTACGGTGGAAGGCAGGCCTGGTCAAGATAGAAACTAGTGCATGTAACACATTAACTGAAACTTCTGTTCTTTCTCACATGCCTGAGTCCTTTTCTTATGGGGAAAAATTATAAATTAACATGGATTAATGCTATTGTATTAAAATGCCAACATCTCAGTCTCTCCAAGGAGTTGTTCCTAATGATAGGCTATGAACATGTACTTAGTGCATTTAAACATATTAATAACCAAGACATTCAACAGAACCCATTTTACCCAATAATGTTTTCTTAAACAGGCAGGACTCCTCCCCCACACACACCCATCACAAACCAGCAAGGTATTTGTATCATATAACTTCTCTAAATTTCGGAGGAATTAACTTTAGCATGTTGGAATGCTCTGCCCACAGCAGTTCTAGAGGGCCAATATTAAAAAGTTCCATATGAGATGAAGCTGTGCCCCTGTGGAGAAGGGACAATTGAAACTGCAGATCATATCCTGTTACATTGCCCCCGCCCCCCGACTCAGGGACTTCTCTTATAACACCTTACCTGATTAAATATTTCAGAAATTCTGAACATTTTTACACTAAACTACTATTGTTGGATCAGTATGATTCAGTTTCTCTGTACATAGTTAAGTTTTGTTACATTGTCTGTAAAATTAGGCAGACTTTAGTCACCCATTAATTTCATTGTCAATCATAACATATTACTTATGCCTTGCGCTGTTCGGTTCTGTTCAGTTTTAATTTAATGTTTACTTTTTTCTGCTGATCCATGACTGTAATAAGCATTGAATTGAAATAATTCCTGGTTCTTTTATCTAAAACTGTTAACCAGAAATCCCAAAATCTGAACATCTACTCATAAGGTATGTTGAGACGTGACTGACCCTTGCAAAAGAACTATCTAACAAATTAGGCCTCTGGCCTATCAGTCCAGTCCTTACAGGACACTTGTCTGTGATTTTTCCCCCCAAATCTAATCTATGGTGATTTCAATATCTAGCATTATTAGGTTCAATTTCTCCAAGTAAACTGGCTTTTTAGCCAACCTGAATTTTTATTGGATACCATTTCACTTGGTCTTATCTAAAATTTAGCAATTGCTTTTAAGTCTTTACATTCTAACATTTGAAGTTAGTCCGGTTTTCATTTTGAATTGTTTTCCAGATGCCATGGCTTGAATTAATCAAAGCCAATGTCATGTATGTGAGGATTACCCTAATGAAAGCAAGTGAAGCTCTTAACTGAAAAACTATGGAATCATAATACAATGTTTCAAACTCTTGAGGGAATTGTTACATAAATTTTACATAGCCTGAAGTAGTACTATTAACAAATAGCTACTTATTTAAGAGGAGTAATCTTAATCAGCTTCTAGTAGTTTGTCAGGCCAACAATTGCACTTTGAAATTGTTGGTTCTTGATCTCTGAGCTTGTTCTTGTTCTTGCTTTTTTTCAGATACTTTATTACCAGGCTAGGTAACATTATCAATGCAAGTGAGAATGGGATTTGATAGTTGTTTATACATAGTAAGTTGTTCTGCCAATCTTACTGGGTATGTGGCTTCCTCCTTTATGGTTCCTTGTCTCTGTTATTGTATCTTCTCTTACTGTCTCCCTGGTGCTGTTTCTTCCTTATCCCTCTATCACAGGAATGTCAAACTCAATTTTATTGAGGGCCACATCAGGGCTGTGGGTTGAGCTGGGGGGAGGGTGCTGACTGGGTAGGTGTGGCTGACTAGGTGGGCTTGGCTAGCTTGACATTACTCTCCAAACTGCTGGCATGTTTTCTCTTCACATTGAGTAGACCAGGCCGAAGCCATGCTGGCCTAATTGAGTAGACCGGGCTGAAGCTACATCGGCCTGATCTTTCCTCTCTGCACCAGGTAGAACGGGCTGAAGCTTCGCTGGCTTGATCTTTCCTCTCTACATTGGATAGACTGGGCTGAAGCTTCACTGGCCTGATCTTTCCTCTCTGCATTGGATAGACCAGGCCGAAGCCACGCTGGCCTAATTGAGTATAGACTGGGCTGAAGCTACATTCGCCTGATCTTTCCTCTTCGCACCAGGCAGACCGGGCTGAAGATTCGCTGGCTTGATCTTTCCTCTCTACATTGGATAGACCGGGCCGAAGCGATGTGAATAGACCGGGTTAAAGTGATGTAGGTAGACTGGGACAGCCCTGAGGGCCGGATCCAGCCATATCACAGGCCGGATGCAGCCTGCAGGCCTTGAGTTTGGCACCCCTGCTCTATCACATTAAAACAGGAACAGTAGAAAAGATATATAATAAACAACATGTTGGAATACAGAAATAAACTTTCAAAAGAAGGCAAAACCACATTATCCTTCCTGGATACCCTCATGAGCAAAGAAACATTGTCAAATTAGAAATTCATTTTATTAAAACATAACTCACATTAGAGCTTCACTGTCAAAACAATCACCCAACCACTCACAAGAGGAACTGCATACAAACATTATTCAGATGAGCACAAGCTCATTGTAGTAATCTGGAATATCAAAAAGGGGAAGCAGACCACATATAAGTCATCTTCCAACAGACACCCAGCAACTTCATCAGAAGAGGCTAAGTACAGTGCTCAACTGTTATAGCTTACAAAAAAGTGTTTGTTCCCATACATCAAAAACATATCTGAGTCAATGAAACAGACTACTATACCCGTTCATCATCACTGAAGCTCACCAAGCAACAAAATCCCTCAAAAACATCTTAAGCAAACCAAAAGACTCAACAGCCAAAGAAGAAACATTGGACTCATCGTATAGTGTAAACACCATAACAGCCACTATATAGGCTGTTAGAAAAAAGACTAGCAGACTGCTTTCCATGAACATCTACTAACAGTTAGAAGATATGACAAAAATTCCTCATTTCAACTGTTATTGATCAAGCCAAATTTTTAAAAAATGCAAGGGAATTCCTAGAAGCTTGGCATTCACCCAAATAAGCCATCAACAGACACACAGACGCAACCCCATTTGCATATTATTTGAAAGATACAATCAAAAACTTGGATGGGAAACAAACAGCCTAGAACACATCTTCACAAGCTGCTAAAATAAGAAACAGAATGAAATCAACTATCAGAGAGGAAACAATGCCCTAATCAAGGAACAACTAAGGAGGAAACAACATCTGTACTAAAATTGGCAAGGCAAACTACTACATATAAACAGCAAAGCCCAGTTTCCTATATACTGATGTTACTGATAGTAAACAATCTTCAAGAAAACAACCAAACTCAAAGAACCAAAAATCTACAGTTCAGAATGGAGCTATACATATTATCTTGTGTTGATATTGCATAAATTTAATTAAATGTGTCTCTGCTTCTATAGAAATATATTAAATACAAATCTAACTAGATACTTCCTACCTGTTTCTTATTAAACAAAGATGCTCTAACCAGATTTCATCTGGACAAAATTACAGCAAAACATGATATTCTCTGAAACACTGCAGCCTTCCAGAGAAGATACACCTCTATGGGTCTAGGACAATTTGTAGTAGTCAGCTTAAGGCCACTAAGTTGCTGCAAGAAAATTCTATATGGTCAACTCATCCTGGGGACAACTCATGCAGGAGGTCAGAAAGAGACCCAGGTGGGTGGATGAGCAAGCAGGTGGACAGAGCAGAGATTGGTGGGGGCCAGGGGCTTCGCATTCAGTGGGCAGATTGAGAAGTGTGGAGGCAGCAGTGGCCAGAGGTATCATATTTTCACACACCACACCACCACCACTGAAGCTGGCCTCTTTATCCCAGAGCTTGGTGTGGCAGTGGCTGTGGCTGTCTCTACTACTGACAGCTACTGCCTCCCTCCCACCTGCCCCGTCCACAGACAACACAGTTCCCAGCTTTTTTGACCCAGAGCTCAGCAGGTCAGCAGTGGAGATGTGAAAATGGGAAGGCCCCTGCCACCATTCTGCACTTTCCTCACCTGCTTGCTCAACCATCCATTTGGTTCTCCATATGGCCGCCATGGCAAGTTGTCCCCACAGCAAATTGGCCATATGAAGTTGTCTTGCAACAATTTGGTGCCAGTGAATTGGCAGGGGAGACTTGGCAGTGGTGAACTGGTGGCAGTGACCTGGCCGTGCTATGTTGGCTATGGCAAGTTGTCCTATTCTGGCTCCTATTCTCTTTGCCTTCTGTAAGAACCTCAAAATGTGGCTCTGCTGATTGGTCCTGGTGGGACATTCAGTGTTGAAAGTGGTCAGCTGACTAGAAAAACAGAGATTCTGCATCCAAACTATAGTATCCTGTTTTTTATTAAATCTCTGTTAATTTTAATGTTTAATTTTGTGTACTTTTGCTTTTGATACATATAAATCATGCAGAGTTCCTTTACAATGAGAGGGAAGGCATATAAAGTTAATAAATAAAACAGAAGAACCATAATTGTAAAGGCTGTGTAAATGTTATTCAAATTAACTTAGAAGACAATCTTTATGCATTTATAAGTGGCACAAAACTGTCCATTAACTGGATAAAGTTAACACAGAATCTATTGGTCCTGATCTTGTTTTGTATTACAATATTTACCTGTTTGGATGCCTAGTTGGCTGCTTCGAGAAGTGGAAGTTATGAAATCTGGATCCCAGATAGGAGAATTTTGACTGTATACCTCTTCCTCCAACATGGACAGGAACCTTAACACAGAAGTCAAAGCAGTATTAATGTATGTTAGGAATGTAAGTCGCCTAACAGTTATTTGGGTTGGAAATATATAAACTAGGATAGACATTTTAATACTGTATCTTTAAGAAAATGCAAAAACTGTAATTGGGTGTAGTTTCTCAAACGGCCATAAGATGGAGCCAGAAACCTGGGTTGTTTAGTCTCAGAATAGAGTCTCAGTGAGTCTCTGTTTCTTCTGTTGGAGAGTGTTGCCGTTCCTCCTAAATGACTGTTACTGATTGTTGATGTAAGTCTATTACTGAACTGTTTTTGATACTGGACTTTGATATTTGGATTATCCCTGAACTGAACACTGACTGCCTTACCTGTGAATGACTTTGGACTGCTTGTTTGGACTTTGCTTAAATGTTTATTGGAAGTAAAAACCTACATTAACTGTACAGTGTATCTGTGTGCTGTGTGTGTATTATTCTTCACTACTCTCACTACGTCTCCCTGTATGCACTCATTGTCCTAACGGGGAATTACCTCAACACTGGTTATGGGCCCAGGCCATACCAGGCTCAGATAACTGAGAGTTAGTGTGAATGCACAATACTATATACATACAGCTATTTACTGTTTAATTGTGGGTTACTATCCTGGTAAAGATGGCACAAGTCACTTCAACATGTCTATCACTGATAACCCGGTTGGATGGAACAAACTATGTTTCCTGGTCTATGAAGTGCAGTCTACTTCTGCGTAGAGAAGGGTTATGGAATGTAGTTCAAGATCCACTGGATGTAAATGCTTGGGATCCAGAAAATGAGGACGATGCCAAGAAGCTTGCTGACTTTAAACAGAACAATGCACGAGCTCTTTGTATAATTGGACTAACACTGAGTGATCAGCAGCTAGTCCATATTCATGGAGAAGAGTCTGCTGCTAGGTGTTGGGAGAATTTGAAGAGGATTTATGTTCGTGACAGTGTAGATGCACACATACATCTTACACGTAAACTGTTTAGAGCACGTCTTCTGAAAGGTGGAGATATGTTAGCTCATTTAAACTTCATGAAAAAAACTTTTCAAGAGCTACATGAAAAAGAACTGATATTTTCAGAGCTGCATCAAGAGCTTTCAGAGCTTTCATCATTGGATGAAAGTTATGATGATTATATATCTTCACTGGAAGTCCTGCCCAAAGATGAACTAACATTGACTGACATAACCGGAAGGTTGTTAGAAGAAGCAAGAAGATGGCTGGATAGGGACCAACTGAGGAAGGAACAACCACAAGAAAAGGATTTGTGTTCAACTGCCTATACCGTTAGGAAATGTTTTTCTTGCGGGGCTAGGGGGCATATAGCTAGATTCTGTAAAAAAGGAAAAAGACAGAATACTAATAATCACCAGAAGGCCAAGAAGAATGTTAGTTTAGCTATGTCTAGCAATTCAACTGTAAACCATGATTTGTGGGTTGTTGATAGTGCAGCATCGCAGTGCAATTACTAAAGATAGAGGTTTATAAAGATGTCTACGAGTAAACAACATGTATCATTGGCAAATGGATGGAAGATGAATGCATCTGGTGAAGGTACTGCATATTGTTTTTGTATAAACGAACATTTAACTATGTTATATGTACCTAAACTGAAATTTAATTTGTTATCAGTAAGAGCTTTAGTTATTCTTGGTTATGTAGTAATCTTTAGGGGAAAAAATGTATAATATAGAAAGAGGGTAAAAGTGTTACTGCTAATTTAGAGAATGATTTATATGTAATACATGATGATCAGCTGAAGATGGCTAACTCAGTTCATAACAATGTTAAGCCACATGATGAATGTATACATTTACTGCATAGACGTTTGGGGCACATTAATTTCAAAATGCTCAAACAAACTGTTGAATTGTCAGAGGAAGTAAAATTGAAACCCTGTAGCAAGTATTTAAACTGTAATGCTTGTAGCCAAGAGAAGAGCAAGGTTACTCCTGCAAACAGACTGAATGGTTTTAAGACCAAAGAACCTTTAGAGGTTGTATTTGCTGACATAATTGGTCCTAAGAAACCTAGTTTAGGAGGTGCCTGCTATATTTTGAGTATTATGGACCATTACTCACGATACAGTTTCTGCTATCTCATGAAAAACAAAACAGAAACATTCCAACATTTCTTTAACTGGCTAAGGTTTGCTAAGAGAAAAATGAAAAGTAAAGTAATTACATTAGTTACTGATAATGGGACTGAGTTTGTTAACAAGATTCCAAACAATGTTGAAATTGGCTGGTGCTGAGCATAAACGTTCTGCACCTTACAGACCACAACATAACTCGTTTGTAAAACAAAGAGGGCAAACATTACAAGCCATGGCTCGCACTATGTTATCTGACTCAGGTTTGCCTGAAACACTGTGGGGTGAAGCCATAATGTGTAGCAACCATGTGTTAAACAATGTAGTTAACACAAGAACTGGTGAATTGCCATTCACTTGTTGGCATGGCAGAAAACCAAATTTAAGTTACCTACACACATTTGGAGCTCCAGCATGGGTGCATATTCCCTCAAAAGTAAGACTGAAAGGGCAACATAGAGCTAGGAAATTATTTTTCGTAGGTTACGAGGCCAACCATAGATCGTTTAGATTTTGGGATCAAGGCACAGCTCATGTTTATTGTAGTGCTAGTGCAAAATTTCTTGAGCACGTTGGGTGGGATAAACTGGAACAGGAATCCAGCAATGATGTTATTATTGACACCCAAATAGTCCTTAAAGATGAAATAAGTAAACCACGAATAGCCATTAAAGAGGAAGAACAGGCACAGGAGGAAGTAGTAGAACAGGCACAGGAGGAAGTAGAAGAACAGGAGCAGGTGGCGCAGGTGAGTCCACCAGTAAGCCCTGTATTACCAAGATGTTCAACCCGAGTAACATGACCACCTGACACATATCAGGCTAGTGTTGTATGCCAAGTGAATACAGTTCCAAGTAATTATAATGAACTGAAACTGTGTCCTGCTAAGGATCAGGCTGCTTGGCAGGTAGCAATGGATAAGGAACTGGAATCATTAAAAAACTGGAGGTATACAAAAATGTTAAATTACCACTAGGTAAACATGCCATAGGATGTAAATGGATTTATAAGTTTAAGACAGGTGTGGATGGGACTGTTACCCATAAAGCCAGGTTAGTAGCACAAGGGTTCAATCAGACAGCAAATGACTACGATGAAGTGTTTGCACCTAGTCTGAAGGCTACTACATTAAGGGCAGCATTAGTGTGGGCAGCTAAGGAGAAATACATTATAAATAATTTGGATGTAGAGACCACATATCTGCATGCACCGTTGCAACACACTATATATTTAAAGAAACCTTTAGGTATAAAAGACGATTATACAACTGATTGCTGGAGATTGAAAAAGAGTCTTTATGGCTTGAAGCAATCAGGATATGAGTGGAACCAGTGTATAGTTAAAGAATTAACTAGGATAGGTTTTGTTGCTGGCATGGCTGATCCATGTTTGTTTAAAAAGGAAAATAATGGTATAATTTCATTGTTGCTATTGTTTACTGATGACATAGCATTATTCACCAAAACTGAACAAGAAACTACTAAAATAATCCCACTGTTAGAGAAGAAATTTAAGATAAAACAGTTAGGAGAAATCAAACAATATCTTGGTTTAAAGACAGATAGAACTAGGGGAGGATACAAGATCTCACAGGCAGATAAAATTAACCAATTACTAAAAAGTTTTAAAATGGAACTTTGTAAGCCAGCTAAGACACCAATGAGTCAGGAGTTTAGCCATAGTGATGTTCAAAGTCCTATTTTTGATAAGAATATTTATCAGTCCTTGATTGGTAGTTTATCTTAGTAATTAGTCAAGGCCAGATATAGCATACAGTGTTAACCAATTAACGAGATTTAATGCTGAGCCAACTGAAAGGCACTGGCAAGCTGCTAAACATGTGTTAAAATATCTGAAACAAACAATGCATCATGCATTGTATTTGGAGCCTAAAGATGAACTGAGTTTAACTGCATATGCTGATGCAAGTTTTGCTACAGACATAAATACATGAAAATCTACATCGGGTACTGTAGTATTATTGGGAAAGGTGTTGATTGGATGGAGATCTATTAGACAGAAACATCTAAGTTTGTCAACAATGGAGGCTGAATTCTCATGTTTGTCTTTACTATGTACAGATTTAGTTTTGTATAAACATTTACTAATTGACATGGGAATTGATGTAACAGATTCTATTGTTATTTACGAAGACAACCAATCAGCAATACAGATGGCTTCAAATATTGCTGTTAAAACAAGAACAAAACACACAGATTTAAGATATTTAAATGTGAGACAATGTGTACAAAGTAAAATGATTAAGCTGGAATACTGTATGTCAGAAAACAGTATAGCAGATCATTTTACAAAGACCCAAGGCTCTATAAAGCATAAGGCTTGCTGTGAAGATTATGGACTTAGAATGTAAGGTTGTATATACTGTCCTACCCAAAGGGGAGGATGTTAGTAATGTAAGTCACCAAACAGTTATTTGGGTTGGAAATATATAAACTAGGATCGACATTTTAATACTGTATCTTTAAGAAAATGCAAAAACTGTAATTGGGTATGGTTTCTCAAACGGCCATAAGATGGAGCCAGAAACCTGGTTTTTTTAGTCTCAGAATAGAGTCTCAGTGAGTCTCAGTTTCTTCTGTTGGAGAGTGTTGCCGTTCCTCCTAAATGACTGTTACTGATCATTGATGTAAGTCTGTTACTGAACTGTTTTTGATACTGGACTTTGATATTTGGATTATCCCTGAACATTTATTGGAAGTAAAAACCTACATTAACTGTACAGTGTATCTGTGTGCTGTGTGTGTATTATTCTTCACTACTCTCACTATGTCTCCCTGTATGCTCTCATTCTCCTAATGGGGAATTACCTCAACAATGTACATAGTGTAATCTACCAAGACAACTTCTTCAATTATAGAGAAAATTAAAGAAAAA